GGAAGAACCTTATTTTTATATTCCTGGAGGGCCTATTGGAAAGTTTCTAGATGGTTTACATGTTGAAGGAGATGTGAGGTTTTAATGTCAGTGAGCAGATCAGATGTCAAAAAGGGCCTCCATAAAGTATCTCAAATGGGCTGAGATTCAGTTTGGACTTGGGGGCTGGCTGAAGTCTCATTAAGGCAACTGGAAGAAGACCTATGCACTTACGGTAGGTTTTCTGACACAGCTTGGCTAAGATTTGTTTGCGAGTTTGATTGGCCCTCTCGACTTTTTCTCATGATTGGGGTCACCATGGAGTGTGGAGATGATATTTCTCAGTGCCTTGGCAACTCCCTGTGGAATTTGGGATGTATTCTCTATCACTCTGGATCAATCTAGGAAGTCTAAACCTAGGGATTATTTCTTTAAGGAGGTCTTTTACCACTTCTAGAGCCTGTCCTGACCTGGTAGGGAAGGCCCAGTAAAGGTGTTAATGCACACCAGGAGGTGTGTATATCCCTTACACATAAGTATGTGGGTGAAATTTATTTGCCAGTCTTTTTTCAGGAGAGGACCTATGCCTTTGTATTGGTTTAGGCAATGGGGGAGGAGGAGTCTGTGGGTTATGGAGGGTACAGGCAGGACATCCCTTATACATGTGGCTTATAACATTATTGACTTTAGGCCCTATAAAGCACCCATGTGCCACAGCAGTGCTGGCATCCTTCCCTAGGTAGAAGGCAGTATGTAGGGACTTACTGCACTTATTGGGGTAAGAACCCACATACCACCATTGGCCCTTTTGAGTTTTTCCCTCATTATCAATCATTTGAAGCTCTTCTGTAGAGTATCCTGGTTTTAAGGCAAGAGCTTGGAATGGGATTATGGGTAGAGCTGTTGATGGGCCAGAATCATAATTGGGGAGTGGCCTGTTTGGCAGTAGAATCTGCTTTAGAATATCCCTGGGAGACAGGGTCCATGGAGGCTTAATGTTTCCTGCAATGGACAACTGTTACCTCATTTGGGAATTTTACTGTCTTGAGGAGGTTGAGGATCTCTGGTCCATGTTTTATTGGAAACTGGTGACTAGTCAAAAGTCATGTTTTCTAGATGGCTGCATGTGCATGTTGGACCACAAAAACATATTTGGAGTCATTATATATATTGACCTTTTGCCCCAAGCAAATTGGAGAGCCCAGGTAAGGGCAGCAAGTTCCGCCTATTGGGCAGAAATCCCCAGGGGAAGTCCTCTTGCTTCACTGACTGAGTGGGGCTGACTGTGGCATAACCTGCCTTCCTAATGTCATTGTTCATGAAACTGAGGCCATCAGTGAACCATGTGCTAGCTGCCCCTGTTAATGGTTGGTCTCTCAGATCAGGACTGCCAGCATAATTTTGTTATGCTGTTCACACTCATGCTTTACTTGTGTTTTATCTGTTGGTTGGTTGGGAGGAGTGTGGCTGGGTTTCAAACAGTGTGAGACTAAAGAGATACATCTGTGTGGATTTTTTAAAAAATAAACCACACAGTTTTTGATAAACCACATTATGGTTGTTTTTAATAAGAATGACCTGATATTTAGTGAGGCTTTTTCCAGTTATCCTCAAATGTCCCTTGAGTTCTAAGAGAGACTTAACTTGCTGTGGAGTTAGAACTAAGAGCTTTTGTCCTAAGGTTATCTTAGAAGCTTCCTGGACTGAGTATCATAGTGGCTATTGTTTGCAGGCAGCTAGGCTAGCCCTGTGTTAATCCATCTAATCACTTGTAAAAATAACCAACTGGTTGGTATTTTGGGCCCAAAGGTTGAGTTAGCCCTCTCATGGCTACTTCTGTCTCTCACTCACAAAGAGAAAAAGTCTTAGTTAAGTCTGGGATTTCTAATGCTGGGGCCTGCATCAAAGGCCATTTTAAAGTGTGAAAAGCTTTTTGAGCAGCTGTTGTCCATGGAAGGGTTAAGTTTCTGGCCTCCCAAGTTGCCTCATACAGTGGTTTGACTATTACTCCAAAATGGGGTATCTATATGGGGCAGAAACCTGCCATTGCCAAGAAAGCCTTTTATTGCTGTTTGGACTCTGGGGGATCCACACACCAAATTGTGTCTCTCTGTTTTCCTAGAGGACAGCTGCCTTTGTTGTACAGTTAAAACATATCTCAGATGTGTCACCTATTGTTGAGAAATCTGGGCTTTGTGTTGGGATACCTTATAACCCCATTTTGCTAGAAAATTGAGTCTTAATGGGGTTTACTACTTGTAAGCCCTGAAAATCATTTTATGCTTACCTTGGTGTGCTCAGACCTTGTAGGGGGATGAGATAGACTGGGGTCATTTAGTTATAAACCTTGGAATACAGGAAGTCCTTAAGTGATTATGTCTATGTGCAGAGTTTTAAGGTAATAAGGGAGACAAAAATATCTCCTTTCTAGATAGAAAAGTATCTTTACTTTTTCTATCCTCATATTTTCAAAGTATCTTTACTTTTTCTATCCTGCTTCATGAGGACATATCAAAAGGACAAAGGAAGGGTGCTGTGACAAGAAGACAGCCACATGGTTTTTTTGTTTGGTTTTTTGTTTTTTGGTTTTTTTGTTTGGTACCTGGGATCAAACTCGGGTCCTTGTGCTTTCATTGCAGGTGTCCAAACCATTGAGCTAAATCCCTGGCCCCTGGACAGCCACATTTAAATGAAGGAATTGGAGTCCTTCCTCATACTATTTACAAAAATTAACTCAGGGTACATCAAATATCCACATTAGGACCTAAAACTGTGAAACGCTTGGAAAAAAATAAGGGTAAATTTTCACAACCTTGGATTTAGCAATGGTTTCTTAGAGGTGGCACCAGAAACACACATAACAAAAGAAAAAAATACATAATTGGCTTCATCAAAATTAAAATCTTTTGGGGGTGGAATGTAGCTCAGTGGTAGAGTACTTGCCTGCCATGGGACCAATCTCCAGGACTGCAAAAATAATTTTTTGAACTTATACACATCAAAACTCACCAAGAACTTGAAAAGACATCTCTTAGAACAGGAGAAAACACTTGAAAATAGTTTATCTGAAAAGGTTCTGGTACCCACAATATAAAGAGCCCATGCACCTCGACAACTTCCTGGTGCACATCCTGGCCATATATCAGATCTATAAATTAATTGAGGGAAAACAGACAACTTCACAATGTTGAGTCTTCCAAGAGAAAGGACCATCTTTCCTCGATTTATGTCTACTTTTGGGTCCTTCCTGAGTCTTAATGTTTTTCCAACCTGGGCCTTGCATACGCCTTGTACCTTATGGCACTGTAAGTGGGATCTTCTCTTCCATTATGGTCATATCATTTCTGGGAATGCAGGCCATTAAGTACTGTGTTAGCTTTGTATCCTATTCCTGTGCCACATTCTGTGATCGTTTGTGGGATATGTACATTGTACTATATTAAGAAAGTATGGCTACCTATTTTGTTGGACATTATTATTGATGTCTGTGATACTAACCTCTCATTTTCCTTTTTACTCAATGGTAATATTCTTTACATCTCCATCTCTGACCCAACACTGCTACTTCTGCCTTTTTCTCTGCCTATGTATCTGTCCCTCTGCTTGCCTCATTCTGCTACAGTATGTCATGTTACCACAACTTTCAGTGTAAGTGCTGATAACACCCATGTTCCATTTGAGCCTCAACTCCAGAAACTCCCAAACAGCACATCCACTCACGTCCCTGGCTTCTCCATGCTGTCACCTAATAAACACCTCAAACTCAGCACCTCACTCAGTGGCATTGGGAGAAGCTGGGCACTGTCCCCAGTCGTCTGTTTCTCTGCACATCCCACTGATGGGACAGTACAAGATCCCAACCAGTTTGCTGCTCTCCCCTCTCCTGCTGCCAGTCTCCTCCAAGTCCCTGACCTCTCACTTGGTCACTCCAACAGCCCATGAAGGTCTCCTCATTTCTACCTTCTCCCTCTACTTCTCCACCTCCTACAGCAGACAGAATGATGGTTGTAAAATTTGGATGTGATCACTGTAATGTTCATTTTGCTTGTGATTCTCCAGAGGGAAAAATGTTTCAAATTATTAACATTTCTCTCAGTTTCTACAACTGTACCATGTGAGTGCTATGCACATGCTTCAGATTTGACAGAGAGGCTGGACACCTGCATCAATAGGAAAAACATAGAATAATGGGCTGCAGAAGGCACTTCTGATGTTCAAAATCTATGTTTCTATTAATTGTCACAAAATCATTTTTTGGCTACACAACAAGTAGTTTTCTACATAATGGCATCATCTTAGTTATTATTCCCATGATGAAATTACACTTGTATAAGCAAATGGATGGTTTTGCTTTGGTTTGGTTTGTTTTTTGTGATACCGGGAACAAACCCAGGGTCTTCTCATTGAATAACATCCCATCTCTTTTCTATAATTTTATTTTAATACAGGATGTCACTAAGTCGCTACATTGTGCAGGCTCGACTCAAGCTTTAGGTTCTTCTCTCTGTCTCCCAGAGGACTGGGATTACAGACAAACATGACTACACACGGTTTAAACAAAATTCACTACTCCGCTGCTTAAATACACTTCACTTCTCCTCCAAGAATTATAAAATAAAAACCACAAATGACCCTGCTCTACACTTACAGTTTAAATAAGTAAACATGAGTAAATATGATAATTCTGTCATTATACTGAGAGGCATTGTGTTGTGTTTTGTTTTAATTGTGATACTGGGGATCGAACTCAGGACCTTGTCCATGTGGGTGGGCCAAGTGCTCTCCCAGTGACCTACACTGCCATCCCACTAAGGCCGTTTCAGTAAGAATTCAACTACTGTTGATCAGGTCTGACTGTTGCAAAATCCTCCTGAGCACCTCCCAACCATGTCTGCCTCTCAGGTTGAATAAAGCTGGTTTTCTTACTCATAGCAAAAGTTAAAGTGACACAGTTTACTGCACTTAGTGTTCTTCCTGCAAGCTTCTCCTCAAACCTCTGATGCAACTGTTCTTTATCCTAGATGGCACTAGATGCTGCGTCTCATGTGCCCAGAATTGAAGTTTATCCTCCCCTTCAGCATGCCACAGAACACCAGGAGTGAACTAGCATGGGAACCACTGTTTCAGATGAGCCTCCCAGGCCTCACCAACCTCAGACTCAGGTGGGTGACCTTGCGCATGAAGGCTGACATGGGTTCAGCACAGCAAAGATCAAACCTGCCTGCCTTGTTGTTTTTGGTGGGCAAAGCCAAGGCGACACAGGGCTAGTGAGCTGTCAGCCTAGTGACAGGACAGCACCATATGAGTGACTCCAAAATCAGCACCGTGGTTGCCCCAGCACCTGGTAGCACACTGCAGTCATCTGCCTTCTCCAAGAATTTAATAACCTATCCACCTGCCTGCTTTGGAGACATTAATCTGTCTCATTGCTTATGTACTCTAGGGAGTATGACCAAAAACCAGAAAAGAGGAACCCTGGTACAGGAATAACTTGTTCTCACCATATAGTCTATTATTTTCCCTAAGATTCACCATAGCAGAAATATCGACAAAACTAGCACCATGGCAGACCTAGTGTCATGACCCTATAAATCCAGCTACTCAAGAGGCTGAGGGAAGATGATTAGAAGTTTGATCCCAGCCTGGACAGCATAGCAAGACTATGTCTCCTAAATAAATAAATAAATGGAAAGCATGCCTAGGTTTCTACCTCAATGGCAGAGCAAATATGTGTTCAAACTCCAGTAGCAGAGATAGGGCATGGTAAAATGCTTTAGCACACTTCAGAAAGTAGCCTCCAGACTATCAAAATAAGCAGCTGCTGGGCTCTTGGTATAATTTCTTAAAAATATATTTTTAAAAGAATTTTTATAGCATTTACTACAAGAAAGTCTATTGTCAGTTATGTTCTATGACCTCACACTATAGCATAGCAACAAAACCCTGACCACTTCAGGTGTGCAAGGAGCTCTATAAAACAAGGCAGTGACCAGAGCCTCCCAAGTCCCCAGGATCTCAGGCAGGAATAGCCACCTGTACAATGTCCTCACTGTCTTGCCCACTAGTGGAGTCCTGGACAATGAGATGGTAAGCAGTTCTCCTGTACCCTCATCAACTCACATAAGTGGAGACCCCGACAAGGATGATGTGAACAGAGACACCCATGACCTGACCTTTTCAGCTATTTGTGGAGGCATTGAGGAGGTCTTGACCACCTCAGAAGTATGGCGGCCCCTAATGTAAGTATCTGATCTAGGGACCACATGTCCTGATGTAACAGCAAGGAGCCACATTCAGGTTGTGGCCACAGAAATTTGAGTTTCAGATCTGCATGAGCAGAGCAGAGTCACATAAAGATTTTAAAAAGATGAAAGTAAGTTTATTATGAAAGTACAGCAGATGTGAGCATAGTCAAATAATATATTACCACACAACCAGGCAGGAGACAGAACCAAAGATGAAGGGTCTTGCATGAGACAGAGTCTTGCACAGGCAGGAAAGAAAACACCACAGAAAACTCAGATTCTGAAATACCATGTTCAGACAAAAGTGACTTGGTGCCACTATGGCTATATGGCTGAAGGGACCATTCCTAGCTTTGGCAAGATTCTGGGAATGGTCATTTTTTGGTGTGTGTTAACAGTTATTGCTATACGCTCCTTTCTCGGGAGATAGACTTTCTACAGTAAGGCATGCTGTTGTGGGAAAGGGGAACAGCTTGTTGCTATAGCCAATACTACACCTCCCTGTTACAGCGAGTGCCACAGCTCTGAGGCACAGCCGAGTGTTACAGCTTGGTATCACAACTATTGCAGTTTGAAGACTCAAGAATCCAACGATCACTTGAAAAGGTGGAGAAAAACCTTTATTATGCCAGCAGACTCAGAGGAGTTTCTACTCTTGATGACTGAGCACCCTACCAGAATAAGCGCCTCCTTATATAGGGATCTACAGGGTAGGCGAGCATGCTCCCTAAAGCACGGGGAAGGAGGAAGGGTTACAGAGCATTCCTGAAAGGGGCAGAGCTAACAGAACATTCCTGAGAGGGGCAGACCTAACAGGACATCCTCAGAGGGGCAGAGCTAACAGAATAGTCCTAAGAGAGCACACATTTCAAACAGATACAAAACATTTTGATATATTGGGCAGGAGCACTGCCCAGCAGCACAAACTGTTATACTTCTGGAACAAAACATTCTGTAAGGAAAAAACATGGCAGCAATGTAAGGACCTGTCATATTGTATAGCATTTCTCTATCATGCAAGCCAAGGTCTTCCAGGAAACCCTCATTTCACAGACTCTCACCGCTTTTAATCCTTTCCCTGACATCTGTCCATCTCAGGTGTGTATGGAGCCCTCTGTATGTGGATGTGAGCTGAGCACCCCACATCCTGACAACCTCGGGCAGGTGTGGAGCCCTATACATAGGGAATGGGAGCAAACCCCCCTAAAAGTTTATTTTACATGAGGGGTGAAGGGGTAAGGAAGAAATAGCTCTGCAGAGCAAACATAGGACAAACAGACAGAGACAAAGGGACAGAAGTAACAACAAAGGTACATCCTGGCTCTGAAAGAAACAGGACCGGCTATGGTGGGGGTCACAAGTCAAAGCTCCATAATGTGGATGTGAATAAAACACGTTTCCCTTCACCTTCTCAGGTCTGTGGAGTCATTGGTCACAGGGAGGATGTGACCAGAGCCTTCCAGGTCATGAGAGCCAAGGCTGTTTGTGGAGCCCTCTGAAACAGTGCTGTGAGCAGCCCACCCCTCATCCTGAGCACCTCTGGTATGTAGAGCCCTCTGCAATGTGGGTGTAAGCAGAGCACATGGGTCCTGACCTGGGAGTGGGTCCAAGTATGTGAGAGGCCCCCATGTCTGCAGTGTGCAGACAACCTCAGGCCTTTGAGAAACCCTGCACCATGTGTGGAGCCCTGCCCCCCATGTAACCATCTCAGGGATATATGTGAGGCCTCTAGAATGGGATACAGGCAAATCCCACCACATCTTGAACACCTCAGGCATCTTGCACAATGTGCATGGGATGTGGTGCCCTCTTACATAGCTGATCTCATGCATGAGTAGGGTCCTCTAGAACATAGATGTGACCAGAGATCCTGTAGTCCTGACCATTGAAGGTGTATGTGAAGTCTTCTAAAACGCTGAAGAAAGCAGAGCCACCCCTATAAATCCTGACCAAATCAGATGTGTGGAATTCTCTAAAATACTAATGTGAGGGAAAGTCCCATCCATCATCCCAGGCACATATGCAGATCTCTACAACATGATTGTGAGCAGACACCACCCCCGACAACCGTCTGCTGACAAGGTCGGGCAGGTGTAGGGCCTTCTACAACATGAATGAGCAAAAGGCCTCAATTCTCACTACCTCAGACATATGAAGCCTTCCAAAATGAGGAAGTGAGAAGAACACCTGTAAGGAGAGCTTGTCAGCCATATAGAACTCAGTATAAAGAGGATGTGACTGGAGCCCCTCGTGTTCTGACTATGTAAGGTATGTGGTGCTCACACGATGATATGAGCTGAACTTCCCCACGTAGCCCACCTCAGATGTTTGAGTCACCTACCACAAGTACATGATAAGACCAAAAAAAAGCCTAACGTCTCAGGGGGTATAGAGCATTTAAAAAACCTATATATGGGCATGGACCCCACACCCCCACAGGCCCTGATAATTTCAGGCAAGCGCAGAAACCTCCAAAACATGGGTTTAACCAGGAAGCACCACTTCTGACACAGGTGTGTCTAGAACCCTCTACAATGTGAACATGAGCAGAGCCTCTGAATGTCCTGACCCCTGCAGCCACATGTGGGGCCCTGTAGCATGGGGTTAAAAGCACAGCACCCTCATGTCCTGACCTATTCAGGCATTGGTGGAGCCCTGGGCAACAGGAATGTCAACAGAGCCCTTCCATGTCCTGACAATCCCAGATATGTGTGATTCTCCTACAAATCAAATGACAGCAGAGTCCCTCCTGGTCAGTATAACACCATCATGTGTGGAGCTTGCTAGAAATTTGACGTGAAAACAGGCCCAGCATTTCCTCACCACCTCAGGTAGGTGCAAACCTTCTGCAGTATGGATGAAAGCAGAGCCATCCCCGTCTTGTGCTCATTTCATGAATTTGTGGAGACCTCTTCAACATGGAATCTGAAGAGAGCAGCCCATTGGATCAACCGCTTAGGCAGGTATGCAACTCTATGTGGGCAGTGCCCTTTCATGACTGGACAATCTCAGGCATGTGTAGAGCCCTGTACCAAGTGGATGTTAATTCAGCCCTCGTATTTCTTTATCTATAGAGCCTTAAACATTGGCACGTGAACAGATTTGCCATATCCCAACACCTAGTGTGACTGTGAGGCCTCTACCAGGGGAATGTGAGCATAGCCCTCATTCCCTGACAATCACAAGAACCTTATAATGTAGCTGTGAATCAGAGGCCTCAGTTCCTGACCACATCACTTGTGTGTGGGCCTCTAAAAAGAGAACATGGAAGCAGAGCCATTCCCCTTGTCCTCATCCTGTCTACAGAGGGTGTCCCTATAAAATGTGTGTGAACAGGAACCCAAGCCCACACTCTGGTGTTCTCACACCTGTTTTGAGTCTAGTACACTGTGCAGGTCCATGGAGCTCCCCATATATTGACCAACCCCATCCTTGGAACCCGCACAACAGGACTGTAAGCAGAGCCCCCACACTCTGCCCACATCCTGATTACCTCAGGTATATATTAGCCCTCCACAATGTAAGTTACCAGAGCCCCACCCTAGACTTAAGCACCACAGGTGTACAAGCAGCCCCTTAAAAACCAGACATCGGCAGTCTCTCGTTCTCTTGAACAACTCATACATGTGTGGTGCCCTGCATGCTGTGATTGTGAGCAGAGCGTCCCCCATGTCCTGATGACCTCAGGCATGGGTGGTGCCCTGGACAACATGAATGTGAGTGCTGCCATTCCACGCACTGACAAACTGGTTATTTGTGGTATTTCTGCTACAATGGGGAGGTCAGCACACTCCACACACACTGGACACCTGCATCATGCACGGACCCCTTTACAAGGTGGGTGTGAGAAGAGGCCCACCGTTTCCTGATGCTATCAGGGAGGTGCAAACCTTCTACAATGAGAATGTGAGCAGTACCTATGAGCTATGTGCGGTCACCATGGACCAAATGTGTGGTGTGTGGTCCACCTTCCCTGTGATGTGCTTGTCTCATGGATGTGGAGCTCTCTTCCTCATGGAATATGAACAGAGCAGGCCACTGGGTCACTGCCTCAGGAATGTGTAAGCCTCTATGAGAGAATGGGCACAGTGCCCCCACAGAAATGCTGACCACCTCAGGCATGTGCAGAGCCCTATACAATACAACGTGGGAAATGGTCTCTCATGTCTGGACAAACTCAGGCATGGGTGGAGCTCAACGGTGTGTGTGTGTGTGTGTGTGTGTGTGTGTGTGTGTGTGTGATCATTTCTCCAAGTACAGAGCCTTTAGAAAATGGGAAAATGAATATGAATCCTGTCTGCAAACTTCTATTGAGACTTTGAGCCCTCTCCAATGGCAGTGGAAACACAGGCCCCATGACCTGAAACTCTCAGATACCCATGGAGACCTCTACAATGTGCTGTGAACACAAACTACCTACCATATCCTCATAACCTCAGCTGTTGATCAGCCCTCTATAAAGTGACTTTGGGAACTGCCCCTCCACATGTCCTGACTACATTACAAATCTGTGTGGAGCCCACTTCAACCTGAATGTGGCCAGAGGACCAAATCCGGCTCAGGTCAAGGAATCCACAAAGTGAATGCGAACAGAGCCCCCCCCCACACTGTGACTTGACTTCTGAAGAACGTGGGGAGCCTGTACAGTGTACATGTGAGCAGGACCCCACACACGACCCCACACTCAGGCATTTGTGAAGACCTGAGATACATGGATGTAAAGAGCAGCCCTCCACGTCCTGCCAATCAGGGCATGTGTGGTCCCTCTACAACAGGAGAGCACAACCAAGGCAGCTCCATCACTGTCGCATATGGGGCCCTCTACCATGTGGACAGGACAGCAGTGCCACCTCCTTCTGACTGGGTCAGAAGTGTGGAAATCCTCTGCAACATGGATGTGACCAGAGCCATGTTTCAGTGGTGATGATCACACGAGTGTGTTGCCTCAACAAAGAGGATACGATGAGAGCCGCCAACATCCTCAATCCCTGAGACATGAAAACTGACATGAACATAACTCCCTGTGTATCTAGTTCAAATGTGATTGTGATCCCTGTACTATCTGGTTGTCACATGAGATGTCCATGACCTCACTAAGTGGCTGCAGATGGGTCACTACTGATAAAAATGTGAGCAGGACTTCCTGCATCCCCCTGACCAGTCTTTATGAGCTAAGTCATGTGGAGAACCTTGTACAAAGTAAACTTGACCTAAACACCCACCATGTCCCCACCTGCTCAAACTCATTTGATGACTTGTGCAATGTAACTGTAAATCCAGCCCCAGCCCCATGGTGTGAAGTCTACCACAAGGTGGTGAGCACAAAAACCCGTGTCCTGACCATTTCAGCAGGGTGTGTAGCACTGCACAGTACACATGTCCGCAGGGGCACTCCAACATGTCTTGACGACCTCAGGCACTGGTGGAGCCCCAAAGAATGTGGAAGTGCACAGAGACTCACAAATTCTTGATGAACTCAGGTGTGTAGTTCTTTTACTGAGTCAACTAGAACAAAGTCCCAACATGTTCTATGCCTTGCCACCCTGAAGGGAACCCTGTCCAAAGAGAACATGTCAAGAGATGCACCATTTATTGAACATTGCATGCCTGAGGAAAACCTCGACAACATGGCTATGACCAGCGCACCCCACCATGTGGTCAAAACTTCTCCCAAGTGTGGAGCCCTCTTCAACGTGAATGTGAAAAGAGCACCCCACATCCTTGGGAACTCAGTTGTGGGTGGAACACTGTACGCCTGAAATGTGAGCAGAGCCTCTCCATGTCCTCACAACCCCTGATCTGTGTGGATCCCTGGACAGTGTGGACGTGACCAACCTGTGTGCTGAGTATTTCAGGGGTTTCAAGCCCTCTGTTGCAAGGATGCAATCACGTGAGCTTTCTAAGTCTGCAGCACCTAAGCAGTGGTGGAACAATCTACATCATTCATGTGAGCAACGCTCAACTGGCCTGACCACATTGGGTATATGGATTACTCAGTAGTGAGGATAAGAGCAGAGCACCCCAGGTTCGATCCATGTTCTGCATCTATGCAGCCCTTTATAATGCACCTGTGAATCAGGTCACGGGTCCTGACAACATCACTTATGTGTAGGCCTGCAAAAAGAGAACATGGAAACAAAGTGACTCCCCATGTCCTTATCCTGCTGGGAGGGTTGGTCCCTATAAAATGTGTATGTGAACAGGAACCCAAGCCCATGTCATGTTGTCTTGAGACCTGTGTTGAGCCTTCCACAGTGTGGATATAAACAGAGCTCCCCATATCCTGGCCACCAACCCTATCCATGGAGCCCTGAACAACTTGACTGAAAGCAGAGTCCACACACCCCGCGCATGCCCTGACAACCTCAGACATGTATAGAGCTCTACACAATGTGAAAGTGACCAGAACCCCACCTTTATCTTAAGACCAGAGGTGTGCAAGCAGCCCCTTACAAAGTGGATGTGAGCAGAGCCTCTTGCTCTCCTGACCAACTCAGGTGTGTGTGGTGCCCTGCACACTGTGATTGTGAGCAGAGCTTCCTTCACGTCCTAATGACCTCAGGCATTGGTGGTACTCAGGGCAACATGAATGTGATCACAGCCCTGCCACACACTGAAGATTCCAGGTATGTATTGTCTCACTACAAAGGAGGGGTCAGCAGACTCCACAGGCCCTGGACACCTGCAGCATGTATGGAGACCTCAATAAGGTGGACGAGGGAAGAGCCTCAGCATTACCTGGCCCTCTCAGGAAGAGAGGAAGGTTACATTGTGGACATGAGCAGATCCATCTCCAGGTTCTGCTTGTCTTGTGCATGTGGAGGCCTCTTTAACATGGACTATAAACAGAGCAGGCCATTCAGTCAATACCTCAGGCATGTGTGGAAGCCTCTATGAGAGAATGGACCCAGCCTCCCCATCCCAAAACTGATGACCTCAGGCATGTGTGGAGCCCTGTACAGCACTTTATGGGGGCCAAGCCCTCTCCTATCTGAACAAATTCAGTCGGGTAGATTTCAGCCAGATGGTGATCAGTTCTCAAAGTACAGAGCCTAAGAAAATGGGAAAGTGAACACACTTCCCATGTGCCAACTGCTGCTGGGATGGTGAGCCCTCTCCGAGGGCAGGGGAAGCACAGGCTGCTCGTCCTGAAACTCTGATACCCATGGAGACCTCTACAATGTGCAGTGAGGAACGCCCCACCACATCCTCACAGCCTCAGGTGTTTGTGAGTGCTCTATAAAGTCACTTTGGGAACAGCCCCTTCCCAGGTACTGACTACATCACGCCTCTAGGTTGAGGCATTTTCAATGTGAATGAGGCCTGAACACCCCATATGCAGTTCACATCAGGCTCGTGGGGTGGAATATACTCGGTAAATGTGGACAGAGGCCCCCACATACACTGTGACTTCACTGATGAAGAATGTGGGGAGCCCTGTACAGTGCATATGTGAAGAGAGCCAGCACACACATGTCCTGACACACTCAGGCATTTGTGAAGACCTGAGAAACATGGAGGTGAAGAGCGGCCCTCCATGTCCTGCCAATCAGGGCATGTGTGGTCCCTCTACAACAGAAGAGCACAACCAAGGCAGCTCCGTCTCTGTCACATAAGGAGCTCTCTACCACATGGGCAGGACAGGAGCCCCACCTTCTTCTGACCACCTCAGAAGTGTGGAAGCCCTCTGCAGCATGGATGTGACCAGAACCGTGCACCTGGGGTGATCATCTCAGGTGTGTGTGGAGGCCTCAACAAAGAGGATGCGAGGAGAGCTGCCAATATCCTTAATCCTTGAGGCATGAATATTGACATGAACATAACTCCCTGTGTTTCTACTTCTAATGTGATTGTGACTCTTGTATAATGTGGTTGTTACCTTAGATGCTCATTATCTTATTAATTGGCTGTGTATGGGGCCCTTTCTGATATAAATGTGAGCAGGGCTGCCTGCATCCCTGACCTGTCATCATGAGCTATGTGGAGAACCTTGTACAAAGTAAACTTGACCTGAACACCCACCATGTCCCCACCTGCTCAGACTTGTTTGATGACTTGTGCAATGGAACTGTAAACCCAGCCCTAGCCCTATGGTGTGAAGTCTCCCACTAGGTCGTGAGCATAAACACCCATGTCTTGGTCATTTCAACAAGGTGTGTGACACTGCACAATACACATGTCTGCAAGGGGACTCCACCATGTCTTGATGACCTCAGGCACTGGTGGAGCCTGGTAGAATGTGGACGTGCAGAGAGACCTGGAAATTCTTGACCAACTCGGGTATGTGGTGCTTTTTCCACATCAACTAGAACAAAGCTCCAACATGTTATATGCCTTGACACCGTGAATGGAGCCCTGTCCAAAGAAAACATGACAACAGATGAACCATTTCCTGACCAATGGAGGCCTGAGGAAAACCTTGACAACATGGCTATGACCAGGACCCCTGACATTTGATCACCACATCTCCCATGGGTGGTGCCCTCTTCAACCTGAGTGTGAACAGAGTACCCACGTCCTCAGGAGCTCAGTTGTGGGTGGAACCCTGTACATCTGGAATGTGAGGAGAGCCTCTGCATGTCCTGTCAACTACAGGCCTATGTGGAGCCCTGGGCAATGTGGACATTACAAGTCCAACCATATGGTAAGCAACTCAGGTGTTTCAAGCCCTCTTCTACAAGGAGGCAATCACCTGAGCTTTCAAGGTCTGCACCACCTCAGCCAGTTGTCAAGACCTCTACATCCCTCATGTGAGCACTCCTCAACTGACGTGACTACATCGGGTATGTGGATTTCTCAGTAGTGTAGGTGAGAGCAGAGAACCCCAGATCCCATCCACATTCCACATCTATGCAGCCCTTTATAATGCAGCTATGAATCAGGGGCCACAGGGCCTGACAACATCAATTCTGTGTAGGCCTCCAAAAAGAGAACACGGAAGCAGAGCCATTCCCCATGTCCTCATCCTGTCTGCAGAGTGGGTCCCTAGAAAATATTTATGTGAAGAGGAACCCATGCCCATATTGTGTTGTCTTCAGACCTGTGTTGAGACTTGTACAGTGTAGATGGAAATAGAGCTCCCCATGTCCAGACCATCAATCCCATCCATGGAACCCTGTACAACTTGTCTGTAAGCAGAGCCTTTTACTCCCGGACCTTGTCCTGACTGCCTCAGGCATATACTGAGCCCTCCACAATGTGACAGTGACCAGAGCCCCACCCTTGTCTTAAGCACCACAGGTGTGCAAGCACCCCTTACAAAAGGGATGTGAGCAGAGCCTCTTGCTGTCCTGACCAACTCAGGCATGTGTGGTGCCCTGTGCACTGTGATTGTGAGCAGAGCCTTGCATGTCCTGATGACCTCAGGCATTGGTGGTGCCCTGGACCATCCCAGGTATGTGTTGTCCTGCTACAAAGAAGGGGTCAGCAGATTCCACAGGCCCTGGACACCTGCAGCATGTATGGAGCCCTCAGCAAGGTGGACATGAGAAGAGGCTCAGCATTTTCTGACCCTCGCAGGTAAGTATAAACCTTCTACATTGTGGACATGAGCAGATCCATCCAAAGGTTCTGCACATCTTGTGCATGTGGAGGCTTCTTTAACATGGAATATGAACCAAGCAGGCCATTCAGTCAATGCCTCAGGCATGTGTGGAAGCTGCTATGAGGGAATGGACACAGCACCCTCTGACCCGTCCACAAGCTGACCACCTCAGGCAAATATTGAGCCCTGAATAGCACTCTATGTGGACCGAGCCTTTTCCTGTCTCTACAAATTCAGGCAGGGGTGGAGCTCAGCCAGATGGTGATCAGTTCTGGAAGTACAGAGCCTAAGAAAATGGGAAAATGAATGCACTTCCCATGTGCCAACTGGTGCTGGGATGGTGAGCCCTCTCTAAGGGCTGTAGAAGCACAGGCCGCTTGTTCTGAAACTCTGATACCCATGGAGACCTCTACAATGTGCAGTGAGGAACACCCCACCACATCCTCACAGCCTCAGGTATTTGTGAGTGCTCTATAAGTGACTTTGGGAACAGCCCCTCCTTATGTCCCCACTACATCATGCCTGTGTGTTGAGCTTTCTTCAACGTGAATGAGGCCTGAAACCCCATGTGTGGTCCACATCAGGCAGAATCCACTAGGTGAATATGGACAGATTTCCCCACATATATTATGACATGACTTATGAAGATTGTGGGGAGCCCTGTATAATGTATATGTGAGCAGGGCCACCACACACATTTCCTGACACACTCAGGTATTTGTGAAGACCTGAGAAACATGGATATGAAGAGTGGCCATGTGAAGAAAAATGGATGTGAAGGCCTCCGTGTCCTGCCAATCAGAGCATGTGTGGTCCCTCTACAAAACCAGAGCACAACCAAGGCACCTCCATCACTGTCACATATGGAGCTTTCTACCACATGGACAGGAGAGGAGCCCCACTTCCTTCTGACCAGCTCAGAAGTGTGGAAACCCTCTGCAACATGGCTGTGACCACAGACATGCACCTGTGGTGATGATCACATGCATGTGTGGAGGCCTCAACAACAAGGTTAAGAACAGAGCTGCCAATATCCTGAATCCCTCAGGAATGTGCAGAACCATCTTCAAGGTATGTTTAGAATGCTCCTATTCCCCCACACCCTGTCTCTCACATGCTGCTCATCTCAAGCAGATGTGCAGCCCTGTAAAAACTCAGAAATGAGCAGCACCCTTCTGTGTCCTGACAAACTCAGGCACATGCAGGACCCTTTGGGACTATCGGAGCAGATCCTCCGTGTCCTGCCTGAATTGTGCGCAGAATCATCTATAACATGGATGTGAGTAGAACACCTTTCTACTGACCTTCTCAAGTGTATATAGCCCAGGGTCACAAGGAAGATGTGACCAGAATCTCCCTGCATGTTCTGTTTGGGGCGGGTGTGGCACTCTGTATGATGTATGTGTGAGTAGGGCACCACACACTCAGACGAACTCATGTATGTGTGGAGCCCTGTACAACCAGGATGTGAGCAGGCCTTGAATGTAACCCCATAGGAATGAGGACCGAGTGGGGCTCCACTGTCATCCACATTGTGTGCAGTGCCTACAGGCCACAGATGGTCATCAAAAGGGCACAAGGGGACTAAGTACAACTCCCTGTGTATGCAATTCTAATTTGACTGAGATCCCTTTACAATGTGGTTGTCACCTGAGATCCCAATAACTTCATTAAGTGGCTGTATATGGTGGGCCTCCTTGATATAAATGTGAGCAGCAAGGCTGCCTGCATCCCTCTGACCTGTCATTACTGCCTGAGGTGTATGGAGAACCTTGTACAATGTGAATTTGACCTGAACACCCACTGTGTTCCCACCTGGTCAGACTTGTCTGATGCAATGGAACTGTAAATGAGCTCCAGCCCTGTAGTGTGAAGTATAGCACAAGGTTGTGATCATAAACACTTGTGTCCTGCCCATCTCAGCAAGTTGTATATCACTGCACAATACACATGTGAGCAGGGGCACTCCACCATGTCTTGATGACCTCAGGCACTGGTGGAGCCCTGTAGAATGTGCAAGTGCAAAGAGACCCTCCATTTCTTGACCAACTCAGGAATATGGGCCTATAGGGAAAGGGTAATGGGAGTTGCCAGAGACCCCTGCAGTGGTCCTGAGCTTCTGCAAGCCAGTACGATGTCCACAAGACTGGAAACTGGGAATTATGAGAAACACAGAGACTTGAGAGAAACTGAGTCTTGGGCTGATCTATGCTGCTCTGGGCAGCAAAGACAAAGGACTCCCAGGACATCCAGTGTTTATTTATTACAAGTGTGGGCAGGGGGTAAACTGAGCAGGACTTGGGACACCTGCTGATAACAAGTATCAAGCAGGCAGGACTGTAAAATGAGGACACAAACATATCTTTGCTGAAGAGAACAAATGGTGAATTCAGAGGGGAAGAATTTAGCTGGAGTCAGTTGACCTTGACTGGGAGTGAGCTCAGCCAAGCTCTGCTATTTCCAATGTAACACAGCCAAATTAGGGAGGGACAAGAAGCTTGTGCCACTATAGGCTGCTAATACTGGATGAAGGTGTCTGCTACATGGGCCCTTTGTAAAGTCAAATAGAACAGAGGCCCAGTAAGTTTTATGCATCACCATCATGAATGGACCCTTGTCCAAAGACACACCAAGAGACTCACAATTTCCTACCCAATGCAGGCCCATGGAAAACCTCTACAACATGGCTATGACCAGCACCACCCACCATGCCATCACCACATCTCAGAAGGATGGAGCCCTCCTCAACATGAATGTGAACAGAGCACCTGAGGTCCCTAAGAGCTCTGTGGTGCATGGAATCCTGTACACCTGGAATGTGAGCAGAGCCTGTCCATGTCCTAAAAGCTGCAGGGCTATTTTGAGCCCTGGACAATATGGCCACAAGCAGCCCAACTATATGCTGACCACCTCAGGGATTCTGAGTCTTCCATTACAAGGAGGAATTGACCCGAGCTTTGCAAGTCTGGACCATCTTAGCCGGTGGTGGAGCCCTCTATATCAAGGATATGAGGACTGCTCCACTGGCATGACCACAATGGGTATGTGGATTCCTCAGTAGTGTGGAAAGAGCAGAGCACCTCATGACCCACCCTTGCTCTGCATGTATGTACTCCTTTATAATGCAGCTTTGAATCAGAGCCCCCAGGTCCTGACCACATCACTTGTCTTTGGGTCCCCAAAAACAGAACATGGAGCCAGAGGCATTCCCCATATCCTCATCCAGTCTAGAGGATGGAGCCCTATAAAATGTGTATGTGAACAGGAACCCAAACCCATGTCCTGATATCCTCAGACTTGTGCTGAGGACAGGTCTTGTACAATGTGGTTGTAAATAGAGCTTCCATGTGCTGACCACCAAGGCCATCCATGGAGCCCTGTACAACATGACTGTAAGCAGAGCCCCCACACCCCACCTATGTCCGGACTACCTCAGGCATATACTGAGCCCTCCACAATGTGAAAGTGAACAGAGCCCCACCCTTGTCTTAAGCACCACAGGTGTTCAAGCAGCACCTTAAAAAGTGGATGTGAGCAGAACCTCTCTCTGTCCTGACCAATTCAGGCATGTGTGGTGCCCTGCACACTGTGATTCTGAGCAGAGCCTCCCCATGTCCTGACAACCTCAGGCATTGGTGGTGCCCTGGACAACATGAATGTAATCACAGCGCTGCCCACACATTGACAATCCCCTGTATGCATGCTCCTGCTAAAACTGGAAGGTCAGCAGACCCCACACGCACTGGACACCTGCATCATGCATGGAGCCCTCTACAAGGTGGACATGAGAAGAGCCCCACCATTTCCTGACCCACTCAGGTAGGTGCAAACCTTCTACAAAGTGGATGTGAACAGAGCCATCCATGAGTTTTGCTCATTTCATTCATTTGGATCCCTCTTCAACATAGAATATGAACAAATCAGCCAATTCAGTCAATGCCTCAAGCATGTGAGAAACCCTCTACTAGGGAAATGCACAGCATGCCTCCCACAAAGACCCCTGTGGAGCCCCATACAACACTCCATGTGTGCAGTGCCCTGGCAAGTCCGGACTACCTCAGGTAAGGTTGAGCCTGGCCAGGTGAAGATCATTTCTCCAAGTATAGAGCCTTAGACAATAGGGAGGTGAATACACTTCCTGTGTGCAAACTCATACTGTGATTGTTAGCCCTCTCCAATGGCAGTGGAGGCACAGGCTCCACATCCTCACAGCTCAGATAACATGGAAACTGCTACAGTTTGAAGCAAGGAATGCCCCACCACATCCTCACAGCCTCGTGTTGGGGAGCCCTCAAAAGTGACTTTGGGAACAGCTCCTCCCCATGTCCTCACTACGTCATGCCTGTGTATAGCCTTCTCGACCTGAATGTGGCCAGAGCATCCAAGCACAGAACACATCAGGGTCCTGTGGAGAAATCCATCAGGTGAATGGGGACAGAGGCCATTACACACACTGACTTGACTTTGAAGAACATGAGGATCTGTGTACAGTGTATATGTGAGCAGGACCACTACCCAAATGTCCTGACACACTCAGACATTTGTGAAGACCTGAGCCACAGGGATGTGAAGAGTGGCCCTCCATGTCCTGCCAACCAGGGCATGTGTGGTCCCTCTACAACAGGAAAGCTCACATATTGAGCCCTTTACCTGGTGGACAGGATAGGAGCCCAAGCTATCCACTTCTGACAGTCTCAGAAGTGTGGAAACCCACAGCAGCATGGGTGTGACCAAAGCTAGGTGCCTGTGGTGATGATCACATGCATGTGTGGCGGCATCAGCAATGAGTATGTGAACAGAGCCAATATGATGAACAACTCAGGTATGTGCCAAACTCTGTGCAAGGTGAGTATGTAAAGAATACCCCTATACCCCCACACCCCATACATGCACACATGCTCACCATCTCAGGCAAGTGTGCCACCCTGTAAAACTTAGAAGTGAACAGGACCTTCCTTTCTCCTCACAAATTCAGGCACATGTAGGGCCCTGCAAGATCATGTGAGCAGAGCCTCCATGTCCTGTGGACCTGAATTGTGTGCAGAATCATCTACAACATGGATGTGAATAGAAAACCTTTTTCCTGACCTTCTCAGATGTACGTAGCTCAGGGCCACATGGAGGATGTGGCCTGGGGCTTCCATGTCATGACAACTGAAGCCACCTGCAGAAATTTCTAAAGCAACATGAGCAGCACCAACCCATGTCCTGACCACCTCTGGAATACATGTGAGCAGCTTATCCCATGCTGTCACAAACTCAATCAAGTGTGAAGCACTGTACAACCAGGCTAGGAGCAGAAAGCCCCATGTTTTGACCTCCTCAGGTAGGTGAGGACACCTGGCAAATGTAGAGGTGATTGAAATCTCCATGCATGTCCTGATTTTCTGGGTGGTGGGGTCACTCTGTATGATGTATGTGTGAGTAGGGTCCCCACATGTGGATGAACTCACCCATGGGTGGAGCCCTGTGCAAAGAGGATGTGAGCAGCCCCCTGGGTCTTCTTGTACTAATTATCTGTGGCCTGGATAAAATGTAAATGAGAGTGGAGACCCATCCCACACTCATTTCTGCAGGGATATATATGAGGCCTTTATAAGGTCCACATGGCAAGATCCCCACATCTCTACCATCTCAGGTGTGTGGAATCCTGAGCAATGTGCATGTGAGGTGGTAGCCTCATATACAGAAATTTCAAGCATGAGTGAGTCCTGGAGAACATGGACATGAACACAACTCCCCATATACCTTCCTCTAATTCCACTGTGATCCCTGTATAATGTGGTTGTCACCTGAGATCTGCATGACCTCACTAACTGGCTGTATATGGGGCCCTCACTGATATAAATGTGAACAGGGCTGCCTGCATCCCCCTGACCTGTCATCCCTGCCCGAGGCATGTAGAGAACCTTGTACAGTGTGAACTTGACCTGAACACCCACTCTGTCCCCACCTCCTCAGACTTGTCTGATGACTTGTGCAATGGAACTGTAAATTCAGCGCCTTGCCCTATGTCCTGAAGTCTACCACACACCCCTGCCTTGACCATCTCAACAATGTGAGTAGCACTGCACAATACACATGTGATCAGGGGCACTCCACCATGTCTTGATGACCTCAGGCATTGTTGGAACCCTGGACAATGTGGAAGTGTGAAGAGACCCAAAAATTCTTGACCAACTCAGTTGTGTGGGCCCTTTACCAAGTCAACTACAATGGTTCTGACACATTGTATGCATCGGCATCATGAATGGAGCCCTGTCCAAAGAGGACAGTACAAGAGATGTACCATTTTTCATCCAGTGCAGGCCTGTGGAAAACCTTTACAACATGGCTATGACCAGCTTCCTCCAGGAAACAGTCATCAAGTATCGCAACTGTGGAACCCTCCTCACTGTGAATGTGAACAGAGAATCCCACATCTTCAGGAGCTTGGTGGTAGAACTTGGAGCCCTGTACAGCTTGATTGTAAACAGCCCCACAACCCACACATGTCCTGTCTACTTCAGCAATATATGGAGCCCTCCACAATGTGAAAGTGGCCAGAGCCCCATCCTTGTCTTAAGCACCCTAGGTGTGCAAGCAGCCCCATACACAGCAGATTGGAGCAGAGTCTCTCACTGTCCCAACCAGCTCAGGCATGTGGGCTGCCCTGGACACTGTGATTGTGAGCAGAGCCTCCCCATGTTCTGACGACCTCAGGCATTGGTGGTGCCCTGGACCACATGAATGTGTGCACAGCCCTGCCACACACTGCCCATCCTTGGTTTGTGTGGTCCCGTTACAACGGGAAGGTCAGCAGACCCCACACACCATGGACACCTGCATCATGCATGGAGCCCTGTACAAGGTGGATGTGAGACGAGGTCTACCATTTCCTGACCCTTTCAGATAGGTGGAAACCTTCTACAATGTGGCTGTGAGCAGAGCTATCCCCTTGTAGTGCTCATCTCACATATGTGGAGCCTTCTTCAACATGGAATATGAACAGAGCAGCCCATTCAGTCAACACCTATAGGATTGTGGAACCCTATATGTGGGAAATGGCACAGTCCCCCCCTCCACACACACACATGCTGACTACCTCAGGCCCCTGTGGAGCCCTGTGTAACACTCTATGTTGGGTGAGCCCTCTCCTGTCTGGACAACCTCAGGCAAGGTTGGAGTTCAGTCAAGTGATGATCATTTTTCAAAGTATAAAGCTTTAGACCATGGGGATGTGAACACACTTCCCATGTATACAATTCTACTGTGATTTTTGGGTCCTCTTCGAGGCTAGTGGAAGCACAGTCTCAATATATTGAAATTCTCAGATACCAGTGGACACCTCTACAATGTGTTCTGAGAAATGCCCCACCACATCCTCACATCCTGAGGTGTCCGTTCATCCTCTGTAAAGTGACTTGGGAAACAGCCCCTCCACATATCCTGACTATAGCACATGTGTAGAGTCCTCTGCAAACTGAATGTGGCCAGAGCACCCATGTGTGGACCAAACCAGACTCCTGTCAAGGAATCCACAAAGTGAAGGTGGACAGAGGCCCCCACATACACTATGATGACTTTTGAAGAACATGGGGAGCCTGTAGAGTGTATATGTCAGCAGGGCCACCACCCACATGTTCTGACACACTCAGGCATTAGCAAAGACCTGAGACACATGGATGTGAAGACCGGTCCTCCATGTCCTGCCACTCAGGGCATGTGTGGTGCCCAGTACAATTAGGTAAGTGTGGAGCCCCAACCTCTCCTCATCCATGCAGGGATATATAGGAGGCCTTCACAAGGTCCACATGCCCAGATACCCATCACATCTCCACCATCTCAGGCCTATGGAATCCTCCCCAATGTTCATTTGAGGCAGAGTGCTCATATACAGAAACTCTCAGGCATAAATCAAGTTCTCTGCAAAATGGACATGAACAAGCACCCCATCCACCTACTTTTAATGTCATAGAAATCCCTGTTCAATGTGTGTGTCACCTGAGTTCCTCATCACTTCACTAACAGGCTGTGTATGGGGCTCTCCATATGTAAGAGCAGAGCTGTCCCCATTCCCTGACCTGTCATCACACCCAGAGTCATGAAGGGAATCTTGTATAATGTAAAGTTGACCTGCACACTCCCATCTTTCACACATGTGTAGTGACTTGGACAATGTAATTGTTAGGCCAACTGCCTGTCCCCCATGTCAGAAATACTACAATGTTGTGAGCATAAACCCTCTGTCCTGACCACCTCATGAATGTGTGATATAAGCAGGGACATTTGCCCATGTCCTGATGACCTCAGGTATTGCCGGAGCCCTATAGAGCACAGATATGCGCAGAGACCCTCCATCTCCTGACAAACTCAAGGGTGTGAGTCCTTTGCAGTGTCAATGTGAACACAGCCCCACAAGTTATAAGCATCGCCATCATGTATGGAGCCCTGTACAACAGGACGTGACAAGTGCTGCACCATTTCATGACCGACTCAGGCTCATGAAAACTTTTACAATGTGGATGTGACCAGCACCATTGGATGAGGTCATCATGTCTCACACATGTGGGACCCTCTTCAATGTGAATGTGAACAGTGCAGCCCATGTCCTCACAAGCTCAGCTGTCCATGAAACCTTCTACAGGGGTATGTGAGCAGCAAACCCGATATAAATGCTAACATCTCAGGTACGTGTGAGGTCCTATATAACACATGATGGAAGTGGTACCCTCCCATGTCCTGACACCTCAGGCTATGTTTGGAGCCCTATACAATGAGAATGTGAGCAGAGCCTCTCCATGTCCCTACTTACAGACATGTGTGGAGCCCTGTGTGACATGGATGTGAGCAGACCACTGTAACCAGACTGACTCAGGTCTTTGGAGCTCTCTGTTCCAAGGAGGAAGTTACCAGAACTATCTATTTCCTGACCACCTCAGCAGGTGGAGGAGCCCTCTGAAAGAAGGAACTGAGCACTGCCATATTGTTTTGAACACACTGGGGATGTGGAGCGCTCTGTAATGCGCCTGAGAGCAAAGCACATCGGCAGGTGGCACACACTACTACACGGACGTGAGTAGAGCCCCCAGTATCCTTTCCATTTCAGAAATGAGCAGAGACCTCTACAACATGGATGTGGAGCAGATCCCTTAATGTCGTGATCATCTTCATAGGATGTGGGTCCTTATACAACAAGGAGGTGAGCAGTCTCCTCCATATCCTGACCATCGAGGGTGGAATGCTGTACAGTATAATGGCAGCAGACACCCACCTTGCTACATCCAAGCATCCCAGAGGTCGTACGTAGCCTTCTAGATCCTGGCCAAGCCCCCACACATGCTGAATATATGTGGTGTGTGGGGAGCACTGCCTGACCTGGACGTGCACAGAGCCTCCCATGTCCTGACCATCTCAGGCTATATGTGGAGCTGTATACAGTGTAGACGGGAAGGAACCACCCCACTCTTTATTTTCTCAGGTGTGTGTGTGGAGCCTTCTACAATGGAGACGCGAGCAGAGCCTCAGAGTACCAGGTCTCAATCTCAAGTATGGCACCTTCTCTCCTAGGACAATGTGAGTAGAGCCCCCTACCACCATGCTCTGATCCTGTTAGTCACATCCCAGCCATTTCACCCACCCCATATGGAGGTCCCTCCACTGCAGGTAGGAGCAGCAACCCTCCGTGATGTCTGACCCTGTCAGTTATGTGTGCAGCTTATACATCATGGACTGAGCAGAGGCCCACACCTTTCCCTGACTATCTCAGGTGTGTGTGGAACCCTCTATAATGAGGATGTTCACAGTGCCCACTCCTGACCATCAGTGCATGTGGTGCCCTCTAGAATGTGGACATGGGCAGAGGACTCACCCCTTGGCCATCTAAGGTGTGTCGAACCCTCTAGAAAGTCAGTATACCCAGAATGCCCATCCTCTTATTCTGAGCATTTTAACCATGTGCAGAGGCCTCTACAATGTGGTTGTGAGGAGTCATGCTGCCCCATGTCCTGACCATCTCAAGCATGCCCATGGGACCATCCCCACGGTGATGTATGTGGATGAGCTCGGAGCTCCTATGTCCTCCTGGCCATCTCAGTGGTGTGTGGGTACTTCTAATACATGGCTGTGATTAGAGTTATAAAGAATCCACTTCTCCACAAAAACCAGGCTCTCCATTGTAAGAAAAAGAAAAGTTTATTCCAGTGAACAGGGACTAGAAATCAGGAAATTTTACTGACTAGCTGGGAAAAGCTGAGTTTATCACATCCATGTATGAGTGGGCTGACAATGGGAGAGGAATAGTGGCAGCTAGCTGGGAGAGATTTCATCCCTGAGAAGATGGGTTAATACCAGGGGAGAGAGATATTAGCAATTAACTGGGAAAGGAATTAGGCTTCTGTAGATATTGAAGGGGCTAAAGAACCTAGGGTGACATATTTATGATTTAGCTGCGGAAGGACGGTCTGGACAGGTATGTATACAATTACTGGACTTTTCTGCACCAGGGGGTTGTAAGCCGCAATTTTGAGTCCATTTGCCTTACTTACTGGGAAGCTGCTGGTATTTCCTAGAAGCAGCTTGTTTATTTCTCCTGTTGATTTAGGGCAGGCCTGACAAGTAGAGCCCCCTACATCCTGACATCACAGGAAGTGAGGAGCATTCTACAATACAGATATGAGCAGAGGCCTCCACTCACTGAGTTTAACCATCACATGTGTGTGGACCCCATATGTGGATCTGAGTACACTCCACCCTGTCCTCAGGTCAGTTGTATCTGCATTGCCTTCTACAACATGGATATGAGCGGAAGTCCTGACCATTGTCACATGGATGGGGACCCCTTACAATGTAGAAGTGAGCAGAGCTCCCCCACCCCTGGCTACCTAAGGTAAGTGGAGAGCCCTGTCCAAAATGGGTCCAATCTGGAACCCCCAGGTCTGACACCTGAGGCACATGTGGAACCATCTGCCAGGTTACCCTCTAACTGTGTGTGGAAACTTCTGCAAGGTGGATATTGGCAAAGCCCCTCATGTCCTAACTGCCAGTAGGGAGATGGGAAAGGACAGCATAAACAATGTAAATGGAAAGCGGACAGCAAACAACCTCTGTGAACTGAATTTGGCTAATGTCACAGCCTAAGCCCTGACTGCTGTACTCCCCTGTGTCACAAGGTTTGTGTGTGTTTTTACATTTTCATATCATTAGGCCAAATAAAGGAAATCCACACTCATCTGGGCAAAGTCAACTCAGGACACAGTGAGAGCAGCTTTCCAGTCACTCACTTAAGGCACAGCAATGCTGACAAAAGGTCCAAGAACCCAACTATGGAGTTTAAATACAGGAAACTCCTGAGAGACCATTTCAGCCACTAACCCATTTCAGAACCAAACTTTCAAGTCTGAACTAGGCTGATTCCTCGGAGTGAATTTGGAAGGTTAACTGAAATCACCCCTTTGTACACTGTCATCCTACACAGCCAAACAGGACTGATGGGCTGCTGCCCAGGACACTGTCAACCCTCTTGATGCCAGCAAAGGCCTTTTAGTGACATCTTGTGAAAAGGTTTGATACTATAGGACACACACCCGGAGGGTGAGTAGGCTGTTTACCAGACCCCAAACGTGGACCACAAGCCAGGTCCTGGGCCCCATGCAGACAAGCTGAATGTGCCAGCCACAGCTCAGCTCAGCAAAACAGGAGAGCACTGAGGAAGGGAGAGGCTCTGTTTGCTGTAGGGAGGTCTTCCTGAGACTTAAGACACAAGTGCCTGAAGTGCATTTAACCGTCCAGTTTGAGAAACGTTTGGGTTCTGCATCTTCCCTTCCTGCTAACTCCACACACAGACCCAAAACTATCTCTACAAAGTGGATGTCCACACCCTCTAGACTGGTGCCATTCAGCAAAGCACAAGCACAGTCAGAGGCAGGCATGCAGTGACACCCCAGAATTCACTGTGTGTGTGACCCCTGGATCACCCCACCATTACAGCTCTGGTTCATTCTGATTTCCCAGCTGTGCTCAGCACATCCTGTGGGACACACAGGGACCATGGTGGGGATGATCATTAGAGGGCTCACCGGACAAGTGGCATCTGCCCAACCTAGGGCCATTCTGGCCGCATACCACTGGCTAAAACATTCAGACACAGAAATGGGGCAAAGCTAACTGCTCAAGGTGACGCACTGGGGAAAAGTCCTGGCTTAATCCTAAATCTGGCAACTCCAGATTTGGTGGACTGGCACCACCGAGTGCCACTCAAACATCTGCAGTGAAGCACTCTGGTAACTTAGTATGGCAAACCTTCCCTACCCTGAGCAGAAGGACAGACTTGAAACTGCTGCCTTTACTCAAAAGTACAAGTAAATCTTGAAGTCTACAAAAAGGGTTTTGCACACTATCGACATTTTTAATGTGTTCTACCCTTAGGCCTCCTACCCCACTGGGAGCAGTTAAGCATCCCATGGCAGTTGGCTCACCCAGTTCCAATTCTTAACAATGATAATTGCTAGGAAGGAGGCTCAAGCCTGTTTATTAAAGATGCACTGATTCAAATTAAGCAGCTGCCACCTTTTCATCAGAGAAGAAAGAACAAAACCAATGACAGGTGGTGATAAGGGTGTGGGGCCACTGACAGAAGGAATATGTACTCGTAGGCAGCAGCTTGGCACAATGTGTGCCCAATTCCGATGCAGCAGGAGCAAGTGGGTGACCAAAGAAAGGTCTATCCCTGCAGAAGAAGTGTGACCCACACAGGCCACAGAGCACCACAACCAGTTTGCATACACAGTCCTCAGGACAGCCGTAGGTGTTCACAAGGGTCACACGGAAAAGCAGACAGTGGAGAGGCAAGGTGTGACCTTGAACTCTCGGACACACATTCTTGCAAATGCACAGGAATTTGGGGGTTCAATAGACAGTAGGACTTATTTCCTAGGGTGTGACTGAGAAGCAGACTTTTATGGTCCTAACTTAGCCCCTTATGAGCTATCTGAATGTCTTAAGCAAGTGCCTAAGGAAAACACCAAGCAATTTGAACTTCTCAGCAGAAAGCTCAAGTAGCACATTAAGAGGTTCTGATTGGGCACGGGATTTAGCTCAGTGGTACCTCGCATGCCTCCCAATCAGAAGGTCCTAAGTCCAATTCCTAGACAAAAAAAAAAAAAAGAGAATTTCTATTTAAATGTGAGGATGGAAAACTGAACACCAAGTCAGGTGTGGAATCTTTAATTTACAGGACCACGGGAAAAAGTTGGAACTGGATGTCATGGTGCACACCTGTAATCCTAACACTGAATAGGCTGAGCCAGGAGGATGTAGAGTTTGAGGTCAGCCCTCACAGTGATTTGGCTGATGTACCTGACAAGTAAACACTGTGTGCATTCAAGGTCTACAGTATGAGTTTGTACGTGTGACACTGTAAACTGAGTTCCCCATCAAGGGAGTTATCACATCCATCACTGTTTGAGGGTTACCATTGGAGTGTTCAGGCGCTGGAGGGACACAAGCACTTTAAACCATGTGGCTGTAAAGCCCAGGTAGATGCTGATGGCCTCCACCCCTCTCCATTCATGCTTCTCACTCTCTAAAAGCACCCACGGGTATAGCTACACTGACATGTCTCTCACACACACATCACCTCAGACCTCTCATCACAACTACAGCTCCCAATCATCCTCCACAATTCTCTTTTTGTCCTTCTTTTAGCCCATGCACAATGGGTTCCTTGTAGCTGGGGCCCCAGCACCTGTTTTGGCTACCTGGATGTTGTAGCTCCCAAGGGGTCTCTCTCCCTCACCTGCAGTGCCTTCCCACACTCCATCCCTGTCTTAGTTTTTCTCCATAGTGCTTATAACCTGCTGTGTGATCCTATTCATCTGCCTCTCTGCTCTAGAATGCAAGCTCACTAGATCCCAGATCTCCTGGTTTGTTCACTGCTATCAGGTCAATGCCCACACACAACAGGAAACAAGGGAGGTTTTCTGAATGAAAGGACGAACGCATGGGTGATAGGAAATGCACAGCATTCCTAACACAGAAAGCAAGCACTGAAAATCCACAGCGGGCAACCAGACCTCTGAGTCCAGCCCACAACTATAAAGGATACAAAGAATCCAGTGCTTGAGTGAGGTCAGTGCCCTTGAGCACCTGGAGCCCGGGTGTCCTCAGGTCCTCCGCACACACCTGTCATGTACCACGCTAACTCTCGCCCACCACAGTCACCAGTGCCACCCATCAAGGCTGCCAGCACACCAAAGTGGACAGCTGACAGGGGCTCATGGTCTACCGCACGGCCCCCACCCCCAGGCACCAGCAGAGGCACCACGCACCTTTCTGCACACACCTGTGCACCCCTGTGCGCGCCTGGGGCCGCTGCCTAAATGGGATAAACTTTCACATGTGTGCCACCTCCCATTGGCCGATGCCTTCCTCCTCCTCCTCCCAACTGACCAATGGCAAGGCGCAGTCTCACCAAGGAGGTGCCGGATCTGGGTGCCAGATGTTGGCATCATCTCCTGGTGCCATTGGTTGCTGGGGATGCCTCTAGTTGCCAGGGCAACTCGGCCTCAGGCCCACTCTGTGGGAGTGGCTGTTGGCATCCAACTGGGACTGAATTCTTAAAAACTAGTGTGTAGAACAGGTGGTTAAAAAAAACAAAACACTGCTTAGGGATTGTTACTGTAGTGCTTATCACCTTTTAAAACGTCCACAGCGTTATGCGTGCTTTGACACGCACAAAGTGTGTGAAGATCGGTCTCCCATGGCACCAGCTCAGGTGAGAATAAGCTTTAGGTGGATTGCTCCAGGTGGGGATGAGCTAAGGGGCAACCTCAGCCAATGAGTGTGACATCAGAGCAGACAGTGAAGACCAAACTTTGCTCAGTCTTTCAACTCTTACAAATAATACTGTGGTCAGGTTGGAGGCACAGGACTCTAATCCCAGCTACTCTGGAGTCTGAGGCAGGAGGATGGTAAATTCAAGCCGTCCTGGGCAACTTGCTAAGAGCCTGTGGTAAAATAACCCTAAAAATAAATAATAAGCTATAAGTACTAGGGCTGTAGCTCATCCTGGCACGTGTGAGGACCTGAGTTCCATCCACAGTAGTGGAAAAGGAAATAATTCTGGGCTCTTTCCTCCGATAAAAAAGAAAGACAAGGAAGTTCTGGTTTAAGGCATAAAGAGCAGTACTTAAAGAGTAAAATATCGCAATGCCATAACCACAAGTAAAAGAAGCCCAGGAATGTTAGCCCAACATGTGGGGCCATTTTCACTCAGGGGTCAGTGGGTTCTGGAAGAGGCAGCTGAGAAGCTGAAATCCTGGACAGGGATTCTGGCTGGTTTGGGGTCAGTGGACCAGAGAATGGCACTTACACTTGGTTTCAGACTGGGAAATTCAGAATTGCAGGGGTTAATTTTAATCAAAAGTTGACCTGCACCATAGATCTTCATGAAATTCATCCCAGTCTGAAAGTACATTTCTATGAGTCAGAATTCATTAGTATTACCAGTAGCCAGCTGAGAGAAGAAAGGCAAGCTCTAGAAGGAGATATTCCAGGCCCCAAATTATAATTGCTTATGGATTCCATCCAGCAGTCCACAGAAATTAGCTGTGTACCTAAGAAGACAACAGAATTTTTGAGACAAAAATCTAACTGTCGAGTCTAGGCTGGCTGTGAACTCAATATATAGGCTTTATTCAAACTCCAGATCCTCCTGCCTCAGCCTCTCAAGGGTCAAGAATACAGGTATCGGGCCGGGGATTTAGCTCAGTGGTTCTGGTGCCTGCCTCGCAACTGCAAGGTCCTGAGTTCGATCCCCGGTACCAAAAAAAAAGAATACAGGTATGGGCCACCACACTTGGTAAAGACAACACTGTAAAAAGTAAAAAAAAAAAAAAAAAAAAAAAAGGTTTTCATTACACGGTGGATTGCTATCACACACTGAAACACTCTAATTTCATGGGTCATGAAGGGCAGCTCCAGTCACCTCTCACTGTGAGGTCCAATGGTCAGGGTCTCAGTCTCTGCAGGGCCAGGGGCTCAGGGCTCTCCTTGCATGGCATGGGATCCCGCACAGCAGAAGGCCTGGCTTCACTCCAGAGCCTGGGGCCTCTTGGTGTTTACCATGTACCTCTCTGGCATGTTGCTTCTTCAAGGGCAGGGCAGTTGGCATTACAGTTACAACATGCTACAGAGCTTTCTCTTGCTGTGCACCCAACTCAGAACTCAGAATCAGCTAGATCTCCTGGTGCATAACTGTCAGTCCAAGCTCAGCCAGGAGAATGACAAATTCAAGGCCAGTGTGGAAAACTCAGCAACAACTATTATCTCATGAGATGCAACTCAGTGCCCCCTGGGTTCAATCCCCAGTACTGCAATCACTCAACCAATCAGATTTCCAAGATACCCCATACATTGGTGGTGGTCATATATAAGATGACATAGGTGGCTCCAAATCCATAGGCACTAACCAAGGGAGGCAACCCTCCCCCTTAGTGCCAAAAGACTTCACTTGTGTTCCATTTCTGCATTGCAAATGAAACCAAACTTTAACAACTGGGACATTAATTTCACCCACTCTTGGGTCAAGACGGGGAGGCTGAGCTCTATGCCTCCACCATTCCATCTGTCACTTGCCCCACCACAGCCACAATGTCGTTAGAGCCCTGGTGACACCTGAAGGCTTGTCGCGGACCGTGCACTCCCAAGCTCACTCACTCTGGTACTGGGAGGATTCATTCCTCTAAGGGTACTGGACTGAGGGCTCCAGGTCCCTACTGCCAGGTTACCAGGATCGGCTCCACAGGGCAGCTTAGACATAGCAGGTGGCTTCCCTGTGAGTAAACTAGAAGGGGTTCACAGAAGAGACAAGCAGAGCCTCTTTTTTTACCTCCTCTCACAAGTGTCTTCCCACCATTTCCTCTGTGTCCTATTCAGAAGGTCAGCTCAGCCAGGTTGATGTGTCAGCAGGAAGTGGGCATCAGGAGAAGCCACATGAGAGGCTGCCTGTCTCCAGGGGGGAGTGTCATAAATTGTGACCCCAAGACAAGGGTGGTGTTCGGTCATGCCCAGGCCACTGGACACAAAAAGCTTCACTTGTGTGGCTCAACACTGAAGCTCCAGGGATCACGTCTTCTTCCCTAACACACATGTCCTGCCAGGGCTCCCCAAATGCTTCCTATTGGCTCTGCACCAGGCCCAATTAGCATCCTGTCATTGATATGGCTGGTCACTGGAATGTCAAGACCCCTGTTGTCCCTTTACTCACAGACCATTTGGATACTGTCCATCTTGAGACTAACTGGGAACCAGAATTAACACTAAACTGGGCAATAAATGTGGCCCAATGTCCCTTGTGAGTACACATGACTTTCAATTCTCTTTCTTTAATGTGGACAGAGCAGTAGTCATGTGCCAGTTCCCATCTATCTGAACTTTTTGCTGATATATCTGAACAGAAAGAAAGCAATGCACCATGGCAGAGGTCAGGGGCTGACACTCAGCAGGTGACAGACTTGCCATCAGTAGTGTTGACCATGTGGTACCACATATGTGGACAGTGTTGGAGGGAGCATGTCCCCACAGTCCCATGCAGGGGATGTGTTGCCTCAGTTTCTGTCTCCTGGCCAGCCAGAGCCACCTCGGGGACTTCCCCATGCCTGACCTCCTCAGTGGTGCTCACTCTACCATTCAAAGACCCAACAGCCAGCTGTAAGCTCTGCAGTATCCTCACCCCACTCTGTAACTGGCTGTGTCCTCTAGGTCAGAGCCTGCATGGCACAGCTGTTGCTGGCCTTCTCAGCCATGCTGTGTTCCCCTCACTGCCATCCCAGACTGATTGAGTGAAAGGCAGGCTTTGGGCCTCACAGACTGTCAGCTGTGGGTGCTCTGACAACTCTGCTCTCACATACACCCACCCCACATGCCTTCTGCCTGCCCTGTGCTTGCTATCAAGGCAGTGCTGTGGTGTCCCCCTTATCTCCTGGAGGGCATCACAATGCCCAAGTTATCCTTTGAAGTAAAGTATAGAAAAATAACATTTTTTGCACTTGTATTTTTGGGAGTGCTGAAAGTGCCTACATGCAAGGATATCCCAGTATCCCTGAGCATTCCAGCAAAAGAAATGCATTTTAAAATATTATCCCCCACCAAAAAGAACCTCGTTCCTTGGAGAAATGGTGCAAGGCTGTATCAGGAAGTACAAAACAGGCCTGGAGTATCTTGCTAGACTGCTCAGGAAGGAAAGACATCCACCAAATAGATGAGTGTCACACAATGGGATATGAGGAGGACCCTAGACCCAGCAGGAGAGTGAGACTTCCCCTGGGACCACCAAGTAGGTTCTTGGCCCATTTCACAGATAAAGAATTTCAGGATGTGTCAGTGTGAGGCATAGGCAGAATTATTAGAGCACCTTAGAAAGTAAGAAAGAATATGAAGTTCACTCCAGCTTGAACCACTGGAGGGGGCTCACTCTGCTGAGGGGTTCAGACTGCCTGGGCACACAGAACTGTCTTTTCATCTCCACTTTTGCCCTGGAAGCCCTTCTTGAGTGGCAGCCAGAACCTTGTGCATGTGAGGCATCTGCTCTGCCCCTAACCTACAGCCCCATTCCACTAAGGCTGTTTCAGTAAGAATTCCACCATGGCCACTCTAGCCTGACTCTTGCAAAATCCTCCTGAGGACCTCCTGGCCATGTCTGGCCCTCAGGTTGAATAATGCTGGTCTTCTTACTTATGTAAAACTAAAAGTGACACAGTTTACTGTGCTTACTGTTCTTCCTGCAAGCTTCTCAAACCTCTGATGCAACTGTTCCTTATCCTAGATGGCACTAGATGCTGCATCTCATGTGGCCGGAATTGAAGCTCGTCCTCTCCTCAGCATACTGCAGAACACTGGCAGTAAACTAGCATGGGAACCACTGCTTCAGATGAGACTCCCAGGCCTCACTGCCCTCCATTAGACAGAGGTGTGTGATATTGCCGGTGACTGGAGATATGGGTTCAGCACAGCAAAGATCAAACCCACCTGCCAGATTGCTTTTGGTGGGCAAAGCCAAGGCAACACAGGCCTGGGGAGCTGTCAGCTCAGTCACAGGCCAGCATCATGAGAGTGATGCACCATGGTTGCCTTAGCACCTGAGTGCACAATGCAGCTACCCTGCCAGTTCCTGGAATTTCATAATCTGTCCACCTTCATGCTGCAGAAACATTAAGCCTTCTAATTGTTCCTGTACTCTAAGGAGTGTGAGCAAAAACTAGTAAAAATGAACCCTAGTACAGGAATAACCTGTTCTCAACACATATTCCCTTTCTTTTCTGATTCAAAACAGCAAAACTGTCCACAAAACTAGCTCCATGCCAGACCTAGTGTGATGGCACTATAATCCTAGCTACTCAGGAAGCTGAGGCAGGATGATTACGAATTTGAGCCCAATCTGGAAAGATAAGCAAAAGTGTCTCCAAAATGAACAAACAAACAAACAAACGGGAAACATGTCTGGGTTTTTAGCTCAATGGCAGAGCAAGTATGTGTTCATTCTATGACCTCACACTATAGCATAGCAACAAAACTCTGACCACTTCAGGGGTGTGAGGAGCTCTGTAAAACAAGGCAGTGACCAGAGCCTCCCAAGTCCCCAGGATCTCAGGCAGGAATAGCCACCTGCACAATGTCCTGACTGTCTTGGCTGCCAGTGGAGTCCTGGACAATGAGATGGTAAGCAGTTCTCCTGCACCCTCATCAACTCAGATGTGTGGAGCCCCCAACAAAGGTAATGTGAACGAACAGAGACCCCCGTGACCCGACCTTTTCAGCTATTTGTGGAGGCAATGAGGAGGTCTTAACCACCTCAGAAGTATGGCGGCCCCTAATATAAGTATCTGATCTAGGGACCACATGTCCTGATGCAACAGCAAGGAGCCACATTCAGGTTGTGGCCACAGAAATTTGAGGTTCGGCTGTACATGAACAGAGAAGAGCCACATGATGATTTTTAAAAGATGGAAGTAAGTTTATTATAAAAGTACAGCAGATGTGAGCATAGTCAAATAATATATTACCACACAACCAGGCAGGAGACAGAACCAAAGATGAAGGGTCTTGCATGAGACAGAGCCTTGCACAGGCAGGAGACAAAATGCCACACCACACTCAGTTTTTCAGTTTCTTACGTACTGTGTTCAGACAAAAGTGAATTAGTGCCAACGGGGCTGTGTGGGTAGAGGGGATCATTCCAAGCCCTGGCTAGAGCCAGGGAATGGTCATTTTTCAGTGCGTGTTGTGTTTTCTTTTTGTTGTTGTTGTATTTTTGGTACCGGGGATCGAACTCAGGTCTTTGTGCTTGTGAGGCAAGCAGCAGAACCACTGAGCTAAATCCCCGGCCAGTGAGTGTTAACAGTTATCTCTATACACTCCTTTCTCAGGAGATCGTCAGCCTCCATGCAGGAAGGCACACAAGCCAAGGTCATTCAGCAAACACATGGATTTCACTCACTCTTTTCACCCTTTGCCTGACACCTGACCCTCTCAGGTGTGTGTGGAGCCCTCTGTGATGTGGATGTGAGCTGAGCACCCCACATCCTCACAACCTTAGGCAGGTGTGGACCCCTATATGTGGGGAATGGGAACAGAGTCCAACAAAAGTTTATTTTAAAATGATTGGTGAAGAGTAAGGGAAGAACTAGCTCTGCAGAGCAAACAGAGAGCAAACAGAGAGGAAAGGACAGAAGTAACCAGAAAGGTACATCCTGAGTGTGAAAGACACAGTACTGGCTATGGTGGGGGTCATGAGGGCAAGCTCCGCACAGTTTCCCGTCTCATTATACCATCCAAATCTGATGGAGGCTTGTGAGAAGTTCCTGAGAGTATCTGGTATTGTCCTGGGATCTTGAAATTGATACTTGGAATTGACACTTCTTGCCCACTTCTCCAGCTGTGCTCTGGGATTTGAAACTGAGAGCCTGCTGATTTCCCCAGCCAGCTTTGCCATGTCCTACCTCCCATATCACTCTATGATGGAGACGTGAGCCCTATACATGAGGAATTTGAGCAAAGCCCACCACACAGATACAACTCAGGCATGCTGTAGGATGTGAGCAGACCTGCCATTTCCTGCCCACCTCAACTGTGTCCAGAACCCTCTACAACGTGCATGTGAATAAAACACATTTCTCCTCAACTTCTCAGGTGTGTGGAGTCCTTGGTCACAAGAAGCATGTGACCAGAGCCTTCTAGGTCATGACAGCTGAGGCTGTTTGTGGAGTCCTCTGAAACAGTGAGCAGCGCACCCATCGTCCTGAGCACCTCTGGTAGGCACAGCCCTCTGCAATGTGAATGTGACCAGAGCACCCCATGTCCGGATCAGGCAGTCAGTCCAAGAATGAGAGAGGCCTCACTCTCCAGTGTGCAGACCATCTGAGGACTGTTAGGCACCCTGTACCCTGTGAATGTGTGTGGAGCGCCCCATGTCCTAACCATCTCAGGGATGTATATGAGGCCTCTAGAATGGGATACAGGCAGATCCCCACCATGTCTTCAACATCTCAGGCATCTTCAACCACGTGCAGAGGATGTGGTGCCCTCTTATATATTCAGTCTCTTCCCATGAGTAGAGTCCCATAGAACTTGGATGTGACCAGAGATCCTTGGATGTGACCAGACCATTGGAAGTGTATGTGGAATCTTCTAAAATGCAGAGCAAAGCAGAGCCACTCCTATAAATCCTGACCAAATCAGATGTGTGGAATTCTCTAAAATGTGAGGGGAAGTCCCCTCCGTCATCCTGTGCGTGTATGCAGACCTCTACAACATAACTGTGAGCAAACACTACCCCCACAACTGTGTCCTGACAAGGTCAGGCAGGTGTAGGGCCTTCTACAACATGAATGAGCAGAGGGCCTCAATTCTCACTCTTTCAAGCATTTGGAGCCTTCCAAAGGAATCGAGAAGAACTCTTGTAAGTTGACCTTGTCAGCCATATGAAACTTGGTAGAAAGAGGATGTGACCAGACCCCCTCATGTCCTGACTATGTAAGACATGTGTGGAGTGCTCACACAATGATGTGAACTAAACTTCCCCATGTAGACCGCTTCATGTAGGTGACTCAGGTGTTTGAGTCACCTACCACAAGTCGATGATAAGATAGAAACAATAGCCTAATGTCTCAGGGTGGTTGTGCATTCCAAAACCTGTATATGAGCCTAGACTCCACACCCCCACAGGCCCTGATAATTTCAGGCAGCTGCAGAAACCTCCAAAACATGGGTTTAACCAGAAATTACCACTTCAGCCAAACGCAAGTGTGTCAGGAACCCTCTACAATGTAAATGTGAGCAGAGCCTGTGAATGTCCTGACCCACATAGACACATCTGGGGCCCTGTACCATGGGGTTAAAAGCACAGCACCCTCATGTCCTGACCACCTCAGGCACTGGTGGAGCCCTGGGCAACATGATTGTGAACAGAGCCCTTCCATGTCCTGACAATCCCCACTACATGTGGTCACACAAATGACAGCAGAGTTCCTCATGCTCTGTATAACTCCATCATGTGCAGAGCTCTCTAGAAATTGGATGTGAAAACAGGCCCACCATTTCCTGACCCACTCGGATAGGTGTAAGCCCTCTATAATATGGACATAAGCAGAGAAATCCCTATGTTGTACTCATCACATGCATGTGTGGAGACCTCTTTAACATGGAATTTGAATAGAGAGAGGCCCATTCGATCAACTGCTTGGCCATGCATGCAACCCTGTATAACTCTGCCCAGCCAGGTCTGGACACTCTCAGGCATGTATAGAACCTTTTCCACAGTGAATGTCAATGGAGCCCTCCTTGTGGTGATCATTTCTCAATGTATAGAGCCTTATACATTGGGCTTGTGAACAGATTTCTGGTATTTCAACCCCTATTGTGACTGGTAGCCCTCTCCCAGAGGAATGTGAGTACAGCCCTCATTTCCTGACAATCACAGAGACCTTGGAATGCAGCTGTGAATCAGAGGGCCCAGGTTCTGACAACATCAATTGTGTATGCCCCTCTAAAAAGAGAACATGGAAGCAGAGCCATTCCCCATTCCTCATCCTGACTGGAGGGTGGGGACCCATAAAATGCGTATGTGAAGAGTAACCGAAGCCCATGTCCTGATGTCCTCAGACCTGTGTTGTTCCTTGTACAATGTGGATGTAAACAGAGCTCCCCAGGTCCTGACCTCCAGGGCCATCCATGGAGCCCTGTACAATGTGACTGTAAGCAGAGCCCCCATACCCCGCCCGTGTCCTGACTGCGTCAGGCATATATGGAGCCCTCCACAATGTGACAGTGACCAGAGCCCCACTTTTGTCTTAAGCAAATGTCCAAGCAGCTCCTTACAAAGTGGATGTGAGCAGAGCCTCTTGCTCTCCTGACCAACTCAGGTCTGGGTGGTGGCCTGCGCACTGTGATTGTGAGCAGCGCCTCCCATGTTCTGATGACCTCAGGCATTGGTGGTGCCTGGGCCAACATGAATGTGAGTGCAGCCCTGAGACACATTGACCATCCCAAGTATGTGTTTTCCTGCTACCAAGGAAGGGTTAGCAGACTCCACACACACTGGACAGCCGTACCATGCATGGAGACCTCTATATGGTGGACTTGAGAAGAGCCTCAGCATTTCCTGACCCTCTTGGTAGGTGTAAACCTTCTACACTGAGGACATAAGCAGATCCATCCACAGGTTCTGCTCATCTTGTGCATGTGGAGGCCTCCTTAACATGGAATATAAACAGAGCAGGCCATTCAGTCAATGCCTCAGGCATGTGTGGAAGCCTCTATGAGGGAATGGACCCAGCCCCTCCACCCCAAAACTGATCACCTTGGTCATGTGTGGAGCCCCGTACAGCACTGTCTGGCCCGAGCCCTCTTCTTTCTGAACAAATTAAGGCAGGGGTACAGCTCAGGCAGGTGGTGATCAGTTCTTGAAGTACAGAGCCTAAGACTACAGGAAAGTGAATGCACTTCCCATGTGCCAACTGGTGCTGGGATGGTGAGCCCTCTCCAAGGGCAGGGGAAGCACAGGCTGCTCATCTTGAAACTCTGATAGCTGTGGAGACCTCTACAGTGTGCAGTGAGGAACGCCCCACCACATCCTCACAGCCTCAGGTGTTTGTGAGTACTCTATAAAGTGACTGGAAACAGCCAGAGTCCTGACTACGTCTCACCTCCCATGTCCTGACTATATCTCACCTCTCGGTCAAGTGGTCTTCAACCTGAATGAGGCCTGAACATCCCATGTGCAGTCCATGTCAGGTTGGTGTGGAATCCATTAGGTGAATGTGGACAGAATCCCCATATACACTGTGACATGACTTATGAAGATTGTGGGGAGCCCTGTACAGTGTATATGTGAGCAGGGCCACCGCACACATGTCCTGACACACTCAGGCATTTGTCAAGACCTGGGACGCATGGATGTGAAGAGCGGCCCTCCATGTCCTGCCAACCAGGGCATGTGTGGTCCCTCTAAAACAGGAGAGCACAACCAAAGCAGGTCCATCTCTGTCACATAAGGAGCTCTCTACCCCGTGGACAGGACAGGAGCCCCACCTCCTTCTGATCAGCTCAGAAGTATGGAAGCCCTCTGCAGCATGGGTGTGGCCAGAGCCACGTGACTGTGGAGATGATCACACGCGTGTGTGGCGGCCTCAATGAGGATGAGAACAGAGCCACTAATGTCCTGAATTGCTCTGGTATGTGCAAAGGATTCATACTAACCATCTGTAAGGTGATAATGGGTAGAACACCCTCTACTACACACACACACACACACACACACACACACACACACACATACATGATCACCAAGTCAGGCAGGTATGCACCTTATACAATCTGACAGGTCAATAGCACCCTCCTGTGTCCCAAAACTCAGGCATATGTGGGACCTTGGTGGATAATGTGAACAGAACCTCTGTGTCCTCCCAACCTGAATTGTGTGCAGAGTCATCTACAACAAGCATGTGAGTAGAAAACCTTTCTCCTGACTTCACATGTGATCCCAGGGTCACAAGGAGGATGTAGCCTGGGGTTTCCTCATCGTGACAGCTGAAGCTACCTCTAGAAACCCCCTACAATGATGACATGAGAAGCACCAACCCACATCCTGACCACCTCTGGAATATTCACGTGAGCAGCCTGCCCCATGTTCTGATGAATTCAGGCAAGTGCAGAGCCCTGTACAACCAGGCTGTGAGCAGAAACTTCAGGGCCTGACCTTCTCAGGTGTGTCAGGACACTTGACAATGCAGATGTGATCAAAAATTTCGTACATGTCCTAATTTTCTGAGGTGGGAGTGGGGCTCTGTATGATGTGCATGTGAGTAGGATCACACACACACACACAGATGAACTCAGGCAAGTGTCGAAGCCTGTACAACAAGGATGAGAGCCACCCCCTGACTCCTCTTTTCTGACCCTCTGTGTCCCATATGATGTGGATAAGAGTGCAGCCCCACCCTGTCCTCACTGCTGCAGCCATATAAACAAGGCCTCTACAATGTCCACACAGCCAGATCCCCGACAAATATGCACCATCTCAGGCATATGGAATCCTGCTCCATGTGCATGTGAGGTGATACCCTCATATACAGAAAATCTCAGGCATGAGCAGGATCCTGCAGAACATGCACATGAACAAACCTCCTCATGTATCCACTTCTCATTTGATTGTGATCCCTGTACAAAGTGGTTGTCACCTTAGATTCCCATGACCTCACTAATTGGCTGTATATGGGTCCCTCCCTGATATAATTGTGAGCAGAGCTGCCTGCATCCCCTGACCTGTCATCCCTGCCCAAGATGTGTGGAGAACCTTTTACAATATGAACTTGTCCTGAACACCCACCACGTCCCCACCTGCTCAGACTTATCTGAGTACTTGTCCAATGTCACTATAAGTTCAGCCTCCTATCTGATGGTGTAGTCTACCACAAGGTTGTGAGGATAAACACCCCTGTCCTCACCTTCTCAGCATGGTGTGTAGCACTGCACAATACACATGTGAGCAGGGGCACTGCACCATGTCTTGACCACCTCAGGCACCGGTGGAGCCCTGGAGAATGTGGAAGTGTGAAGAGACCCTCCATTTCTTGACCAACTTGAGTGTGTTGAATTTTTACCAAGTCAATTAGAACAGAACTC